AAGCACAGCCATTTGAAGGTAATCCTAAATAGGAGGGTCTTTCCCTACGTGAATGCTCTTGGGTTTTCCAATGGGACAGCCATAGTGCACTAATTTAACACACATTTTCATGCATGTCTATGATATCAGAACAAAGGAATAACAGCACATCTCTCAAAAGCCTAAGCATGACACAATCCTCTGAACTTTTTTGTGTTATGTGTAGACACAGACCCTCTATGCACAGCTGAAATGATATATACAGTATATTTATCACCCGAGGTTGGGAGAAGAATCTCAAATGAGGGAGAATGAATGGTTTCTATTCTTCATTCTCAGGCAAAACACTGGGAAAAATACAATCGGAATGGCGGCGGCGGAAGCTCAGAACTCTGTGTATGTATGTAATAAGACCACATCTTTCTTACTCAGCACAGTGCCTGGCACAGAGGGACACTCAATACATGCTGTTATGTGATACTTTGAAAGCACTGGCTATCAAAAGGTAAATATAGATAAGGCTGCTATAATCCAAATGCCACCCCCGCAACGTGACATGCCAAGATGTCCTTCTAAATCCTATTAATTCTCTGTTCCAGAGAACAAAAAGGAACGTGTGTATGAGACTTCGCCTCCTAACAATATCGCCTCTGTTTAGATCTGACAATCTCTGAATTCTCTGTAAGCTTCATTAGGTTAGGTCATACCCCCAGTGTACGGGAAACAGAAGCTGGACACAAAATGAATACTGTAGGGCATGCCATGTACCTACTTCATGCCTAAGTCAATATGTGCTTTCTCAAAGAACTCAGGTTAGTGTTGACTGGGAACCGTGTGGACAGAGCGTGCCCTTGGAGGTACGTAGGTGGGAAAGGAAACAGAGGGAACACACAGAGAAAGGACTCAGGCAGCTGGTAGGTCACCTGGAGCAGAGGGGCCTTTGGAGAGATCAGAGTTAGCTTTAACTATATAGCTATCTTTGGGGTGATCATCTTGCACCCCCAAACATCGCAGGCTATTTTAATCACGAGGAAACCTGGAAATCATATTTCAGATGATGTCAGCCTTCCCAAAGAACACTCAGAAGATGTTCACAGTGGATACGAAGTTCTGACCCTTGAAGACTGAAGCAGGGAATGGAGGGATAAAGCAGGGAACTCGAGCCTCTGGTTAGATAAGCCTCCCAATGCTGATATTCTCAGGCCCCTCCCACTATCTGACCATGTCTCCTGCCTTCCCTTTGAGCAAAGCTGCAGGGTGCAGCTGTTTCACAGCGGAGAAGCAATGTGGGCAAGCAGCATGCTGTTGGTGCAGGGCATGTTTAAAGGGTATATTTATCATTATGTAAGAGTCTGGGAATTTCAGTCTGTATTGTACCTTTTCTATAGGTTAGATTTAAACACTGTAATTTGGAATCAAGTATGAGGAAGGCAGACACAAGCCGAGATCTACTGTGTGAAGTTGATTAGTTATGCAAACAGCGGTGGGTGGGTGCCCAGCTCACCAGACAGCTCTCCCAGTGTGCACAAGCGCTTCCCTGTTGACACTCACTTGTTGGTGACATTTCTGTATGTGATCTACAGGTCTTATGCTGCTGCCCCTCTGTAGTCGGCTTCAACTGATCAATTCTTCATGTGCAGGGCCAATGTCTGGTTTAAATCAATGCTAACTGAATGCCGTGAAGAACCCATCAGTCACATTAGGTCCTTTGCACCACAGCAGACTAGTAACTAGTAGTGAGGACTGCTTAGTCCCAACCAGAGACTGACAGGGGATGCCATACAGGCAACCCTCCAGATCATCAGTTTTCATCATCTGTAGATTCAACCAAACTTGGACCGGAAATATTCAGAAAAACAATTGCTTCTCTGCTAAACATACACAAACCTTTCCTCATTAACTAAACCTTTGTTCATTAACTAGATACAAGGCCCAATGTGCCATAAATACTTTTAGAAATGACTTACAGCACACATGTAGGCCATTTCATAGGAGAGAACCGAGTATTTAGCGGGGACCTGGAACCAGGCCACTAGAGATACCAAGGACAAGTACTAACAGCTGACACTGGCCCTTGAATGCACATGTCTGTCACTTCTCTGTGCAAGTGTTTGCCACACTCCAGGTTCTGTCCTCATGGAACTTCCAGCCAGTGGAAAGAAGCACTACTCACTAAGTGATAGGATGGTACGGTGGTCAGAGCTGGGGACCAGGGACAAGGTGTGTAGAGGTGTTAGGACCTGACCTCACGGTGCATCTCACTCTGTCATCAAAAGAAAGCAGATGACGGTAAAGAATTATTACTATAAAAAATGCACGCGTGTGTAAGACTTAAATGTGGGTCTGTGGGAATTCTGTCTTATTTTAGAATTCTCTGCTTATGCGCAGAGACACAGTCTGCAATATTTATGACAAGATGAGATAATATCTTGGATTAACTTCAAAACAATCCAGAGCGGAGAATACGAATGGTATCGGGGGCACGGGTCCACAGGATTCATGTGTTCTTCTTTACTTCCATTTCGGACTTCAAAAGGTCCACAATGAAAAGTTAAAGACAAATTTTTGGCAGTAGGTACTCGTCAAATGGGTTGCGAACCCCACTTCTAAAGGAGCATTTTTTCTCTTGTTTGGCTGTGCCGTCTTTCCCAGGATCTCTGCGTGTTCTATTTCCTCCTTTTCACAGCCTGCCTGCCGGCCTCCACCCCCTCACGGTACTCTCCCTGGCTGAGCGGCTTCTCTGTGGTATGGAAGAGTCAGGGGTGGCTTCCCTCTTGACCCTCTCTCTAGTCCCTTCCCCTCTCTTACAGTCACCACATTCAGTGGTCTTAGGACCACAGGTGACCCCTGACCTTTCCCCCTTGTCGGTTAATAGTGTCCCTTCATTCTAGTGGCAACCAGCGAAGAGGGGCTTACTCATGGCTGAGCGCCCTGGGAAGTCTTTCTGCCTCCTGTGAACAGTCACGTGTCAGGGCACTCTGTATGTCCATGTAGGCAAATTAGACTGGATAATTGTTAGTGAGGGCTGGGGTACTGTTATTACAGTAATAATAGTCTTCCATTAATTGAAGAGGAGAATGACGCATGCCTAATTATTAGGTTTTTTTTTTTTCTCAAAGGAAACTTTATTAGTCATAAGAAATGCCAAGCAATATTTTAGTTCTAGGAAGACTTTTCATTATGACATAACTTTCCTCCCACATTTTTAAAGAAATTGCTACTACTTTGATCCCTAAGAAGTTACCCACCGGCTGGCAACAACTTCTCTGAGTAGGGAGTGGGAAGCTGCCGGTCTCCAGAGAGGGCGGCCTGAGGACACAACCTTCCCTGCCGAAGGTTCTAGGGAAGCCAGTGACCAAGCTAAGGGCCACACTGACGTACAGCGGATGCGCACTGTTTACCCGCTGTACCCACGTGGGTCCAGCCTGCATGTTAGTCTACCGTCCTCTGCTGTCTCCTTGCAGGCTGAGAGCGCGCGACATGTGGTGACACACCAGCTGTTGTACGGGGTGGAGTTTCAGAACTCACAGACACCTGAGCACGCGCTTGTCCTGCTGCCCCGGCTCCCTCCACTGAGCACACAAGTGGAAATCTGCTCCCGACACCACCAACGTGTCCCTCAGTTCGAAAGGCATTTGCTGCTGCTTTGGTATTTTTCACTTTTTGCTGAAGAGCACATGTGGACTTCAGTGAAATATCCTGCGGCTTCTTCCTTTCTAGTGGGGGCCAGTCAGAGTAGCCCAAGGCAGTCAAGGCGGATTTCCAGGCTCAACCTGCTAACGAGGCCTTTCTACCCAACCCCACTGCCCACCTCTCTCCAGTTGTTCCAGGCAGGCAAGTGGGTACTCTCCACCACGGACACCACCATTCTGACACACATTCTGCCCTGGTGATTGCTTTCAGTTTTTCCTTTCTGGAACGTTCTAGCTCTTTCCTTATCTCCAAATCGAATGAGCATAGGCCCTGTCTCATGTTAGCCCCTGAGATATTGCCTTTCTCAGTATCATCCCAGGACAGAGTTTGTGTGTGCGTGTGCGTGTGTGCGCGTGTGTGCATGTGCATGTAGGCACGCACACTAGTCACCTGTACTGCTCTAGATGCACAAGGCACACTCACCTCTGCTGAAACGCTTTCTGGGCCATCTCTCTTGCAGCCCTCTTGACATCCTCAGGAACTGCATCTTTTTCGACCTCAGAAACCTGATATACTGGGTGGCCTGCGTCCAAACGATAAGGACCCCCTTTGCCACCAAGACCTGCAGTGTCTCTTCCCCCTGGAAAGAAAACATGGGGACATAGTTGTTATGTCTAGAGCCTGGCCACAAAATGAAAATCAGATCATGGCTTTAAGACAGTCCTGTGAGGAAGAGTAACTAAACTAACCAGTAATTAAAGCCTCCAACCACCTTTACCTGAACACAAAGACACTCCTGTTTAGGGTAACTTTTCCTTTTATTCCATCCACCCCAATCTGCCTGTTCAGTCCAAATTCAATTTGAACACTTTATCTGATGTCTCTCCTTCGCAGGGATCAATGCTTTTGTGCGCTGTTTGTATCCCTTTAATATTGCTTCTTATCAACTACCTGATGGCTGGGGTGGCTTCGTTCTTCTGCCCTGGATGAATAGCTCACCAGTGCCTACGGACACTACACACTTGTAATTAAAGGGGCAGTTCTTCTAGTTACCCACTTTCCCTAAAGTACCAAGACAGTTAAATTGTAGGTAAAATTTGTTTTGAAAATAATAAAAATGATTCAGAGAGATTGACTTCTTTGTGACCTCATATCACTTGTTAAGCCAAGATTTGAAGTCAATTATTATGTAGATTTTGGCATTCAGTTTGAATAACACACAACAGATAAACATCATTAGCTTGAGAACAGTTTTTCATTATAAGCTCAAGTTTACATGCCTGTAAGTATACGTCATATAATACTGCATGAGCTATTTATACAGAAATGAAAGTTAGATGCCTGTAAGGCTAGGTAGGCAGCATTAAAAGGTGGAGGAGACACTGGCCAATTAGAAAGGAATGCTTGGTCTAGTATGTTCAAATTTATTTTAAATCATTGTATTGACCAAAGAAAACACGTACATCTATTGGCTACATTTGGCCTCTGTATGAATGACTTATTATCTTTGCTCTTAGAAAACTAGCAACGAGGTCCCTTCGTTTACTCATCTGTAATTTGGAAACCTAGTGAGAATCCATACTGCACAGTCTAGCACAGTGTTGTAAACCACTTGCATAGGTAAGGCAGACTGCCTGAGTTTGAATCTGGTTCCAACTCAACAGCTGGGTCTTCAGAGAAACCACTCACTTCTCTGTGTCTCAGTCCTCATCTACAGCATGGGATGGCATCGCCTGCCTCATGGGATTCTCACAAAGCTAACCTGCTTGGGAATCTACCTGGCCTGCAGTAAGAGCTATGCAAGTGACTGCCTCATGGTAACGTCTGGATCCCAGTGACACGAGAGGGAGGTCATGTCTAGATTCATATGGTGGAAAACTGGACAGCTTTCACACTGGGTAAATGATGTGACTCTCCCCCAGTGGAGCTTTGACTTGTCTAGTAAACTGAAAATGAGAACTTGGCAAATGAGTCCTTGCCAAGTCCAGGTAGGTCATTTCCTTGGGGGAAATACCATGAGAGCAGTAGTATCTACCACTCACAGTATTTTAGTCTTTGGACTGAGCACATCTTATTTCATTTAGAAGTGGGTGGTGGAAAATTCCTCCTACAATATGTATGATTCCTGGTTTCCACTTCCAGCTGGTGTGTGGCAGAGACGAGTATGGTGGGCAGTGATGAGGCGCTGAGGGTGGAGAGCTGTGTCTGGCTCGACCTGCTCCCTGCCTGAGGTACTCCTTGAGGATGGGTGGAACGTGACCTGAGCGTAATGCTTCCTAGTCATTTTGATGGCAGGAAGAAAGAAGGAGCCACATCTCTTAGAGGTAGTGTGAGTGGTGGTCGGAACCAGTCACGTGGCCCCTCAGGAGAGTCAGCTGGGGTGGACAGGGTATAAGGAAAGAGTTCTTTTCTCTACTCCACAGAATTTTAAATTCATATATTTAGATGAAAAATGCTTACAGCTGAACTGGGACTCTCACTAACCAGTCCATAAGACACAGGGAAGAAAACACTGATGATGGAGAAGGATCAATGGCTTGGTGGCCAGAGCTAAGTTTAATGTAGAGAATTCTGAAGGGCGCAAGTGACAGACAGTGACAAGCTGAGGTCCAGGAGCCTCGATCAGCTGAAAGATACCAGGCCAGGGAAGCAGACAGGACCTCTGATCTGAACAGGCACTGGGCACTGGAGCTAGAAGATGCATATTTAAGAACAAATGAGACTTCGACTGTGCTGGCACTGCTGGGCAGCGACATCTAGCCAGCTTGTCCACAACACATTCCATATGGATTAAAGATTGTTGGCCTGACACTAACTTCCAGATCAAAGGACACTCCTAAAAATAGCCTGTCTTTAAAGCTGATGCTCGGTGAATAAACAGAGTAGGCAAGAGGTCCCGGCTGATTTGATAGCATATTGTCTCAGCACAGAAACCCATTTCCTGCCAAGGTCCTCAAGGCCAAGAGGCGCAGAGCATCCTAAGGGAAGGTGAAGGACTGAGCTGTGCCAGCACTCCTGGCTGAGATAAGCCAGACAGTGCACAGTCTGGCCCCGTTCCTGGGCTCCAGCAGATGTGGCTGCTCCAGCTGCTGGAGGGAAGAGGAAGAGGGCGGCTTGGGAACAATGGTCTAGGAGACCAGCCAAGAGGAAGGGATGGCACCCAGCCATCAATGCAAAACACACCGACCTCATCTCCAAACCATGTACCTCCACACACTCTCTTCTCAGACGTGGACAGAGCTACTTCTTCCCCAAGTCAGTTGTTCAAGAACTCGCTGTAGATTTCTGGTACAATTCCAAAGGCAAGGAATTGAAAGAAAGGATCAACGCTTCAATGCCTATGTTCTTTAGACCAACCATTCTGCTCCACGCTCTGAATTCATCACTAATTTAGTCTTTCGCGTGACCTCGTGAGGCAGATAACATTCCTCCCTCCTCCTCTACTGATGAAGCAGCTATGAGGCGGGGGCACAGCTTCAGGTCAAAGTGTGGCAGAGTCTGTGGGGTTCTAACACCCGGCTTTCTGCATGTCTTCATGTCATGCAGGGCAGAGGGAGAGACCCCTGACAGAGGCTGAGCAGGGCAGCCAGCATCTGGGCTGTCTCAGGCTTAGAATCGAGAAAATTCGGAAAACTCAGGAGAATCCACATGCTACCAACCTGTTCCACCAGCCCAGGTATTGCCACCCACGTGGGGCATGTTGTCTGGGTCCTCCTTGCCGTGCTTAGGGTCACTCACGTCTTCATTACTGTCTCTTTCAATTGTTATCTGAGAAGGAAGAAGAGTTGGAACATGGTCACTAGCCTGTGAGTACCAGGAACCGCCTAAGTGACAAGCAGCTTCCCGAGGGGTTGGTACCCTCAGCTCACGACAGGCTGAGTCTGGGAAAGGCTTCATCACCATCACATTCAATGCCAGTTTGGTTGGGAAGGAAACATAGTTTTTTAAAAAGAAAAGAGAAGGAAAGGTGCAGGACGTGAGCTGTTTCAGCTTAGCATTCTGGCACAGAACGTGCTCTGAGAACTTAAGCAAGGCAGGAACTCCATGGAAACAGGCAAATGGTTCTCCCCATTTCCCAGTGGTTAAAAGGCCCAGTTCCTCACCAGTCCGGCTGAGTCACCACCTAGGCATCAACCCGTTTAATTTTCAAAGACTTATTTGAGCAATGTCATTTCATTAAAAACATACATACAAAACAAAAATCAGAAAGTATATAACAGGTTTAGGTTCCATATACCCACATATACTAAACACTGCTTACTTCTTTTTAGATCCACCGAAGAAACATTATGATATTTTGTAGTTTTCCTAATTAATCTGTATTTTCAGATTTTATTTACAATTCTTGGGATTCAAATAAAATAAATGACATTTTAGCTTTACCTATGACTGGCTGCCTTCATTTGCTTTTCATACATCTTCCAAAGTTCTTTCATTATTTTTAAATGATATGCCAGGAAACGCACGCACGCACGCACGCACGCACGCACGCATGCACGTACGCACAAATGCCAAAGTGAGGAACGGTGATCAGAACTGTTTATCCAATAAAGTACAGACCATTTCTGGAAGTCCGTGACCATCTTGTCCAGCACTGACATGCTGTGACTGATTCAGGGAGTCCCAATGTGGTAAATCAGGTGATCAATGGCATTTCAGTCAAACCCACATATGACCGAACAATAGACTAGTTTGACCATAAGGATTTTGACTCTTCTTTTTTTTTTTTTTTTGGTTTTTTCGAGACAGGGTTTCTCTGTGTAGCTTTGCGCCTTTCCTGGAACTCACTTGGTAGTCCAGGCTGGCCTCGAACTAACAGAGATCCGCCTGGCTCTGCCTCCCGAGTGCTGGGATTAAAGGCGTGCGCCACCACTGCCCGGCGATTTTGACTCTTCTAAAAGCACAGTTCCAGGGCCTGCCATGTGTGTTCAGCCTGCTTCCTTAGACCACCCAGGCCCACCTGATCAGGGATGGCAGCACCCCCAGATGGCTGGGTTCTTTCACATCGGAATCAAGAGAATGCCCTAGAGACTTGTCTATAAGCAATCTGATGGAGGCATTTATCAATTAAGGTTCCTCTTCCCAGATAACTCTAGTTTATGTGAAGCTGATAAAAAAACTAATTGGACAACTGATCCCTTGTCAACATGACACACCAATGCAATATTATTCAGTCAAAACTTTTCTTGTTTATCCCCAAGATTTCATCTTCCTATCTCAATATAGAACATAGTATAATTTCAAAAATTCTCAGTCTCATGATCCTCTGTACTCCTAAGGGTCTGGGCGGTTCCACTGCCTCACTCTCTCCTCCTCTCCGAACTACAGTTTCCGTGCTGACGCTGAGGAAACACTCTCAGAAGACTTCATCTCAACGATGCTGGTCTCTTCTCAGCCCCAGCTGACCAGCATCAATGGTCCCAGTAAAGTAAAGGCTGCACTTCAGTGGTGCAGGCCTCTTGGTAACCACAGCTGATTCACAGCACCAGCTGACCAGACACCACAGATTCTCAATGCAAAACACATCACATGGCCGGCTCTGGGAGAGTCTTGGAAGGATTCATAAATCTTCCTCAAAAACTCCATAAGCAAGGCCGTCACCATCTGCAAAGCGCTCAGCATTCTTATTCAGGTTCCTATAGCAGCCTACTAAGCTCTTTCACTCAATGGCTTTTCCAGCCCAAGTTCCAAACTCATTTACAATCCTGCCAAAAAGAACACTCTCAGGCCTCTCCCAGCAACAGCAATAATAGTTTCTACTACTGTGACACTGTGACAAAGACAAATTGGGAAGGAAAGGCTTTACTTCCAGGTCACACTCCACCACTGAAGGAATCTAAAGCAGAAACTCAAAGCAGGCCCCTGGAGACAGGAACTGAAGCAGAGGCCATGGAGGGGTGCTGCTTACTGGCTTGCTCCCCCATGACTTGCTCAGCCTGCTTTCTTATAGCACCCGGGACCCTGGAGTGGCACTACCCCCAAAGGGCTAGACCCTTCCACATCAATCATGAGTTAAGACAACGCTCTACAGACTTGCCCAGAGGCCACTCTGATGGGCATTTTCTCAGTTAATGTTCCTCTTCCCAGATAACACTAGCTTGTGTCAAGTTGACAAAACAGAACAAAATACAAAACCAGGACCAGGGAGAATGAAGGATTGAAGAAAGACATTTAACATCAATACCTTCCTTTCTCCCCTCCCTTCCTCTGAGATGCCCACCCCAACATACACACACACACACACACACACACACACACACACACACACACACACACACACGTTCCAGCACTATCCGAGCAGGCACAGGTCTACTGAAGAACTGTTTGTACACCGGTCTTCTCTGTGGATTGTGTGTGTACTCTCTGGTCTTGTTTCTTTCGAAACAAAGGACTTTGAAAGAGGTAAGACAAACAAATTCCGATGTGACAAGTGGCTCCGCTCCGCTCAAACACTGGCTCTCTCCTACAGACAGAACGTACAATCTCCCCCGTCTGCTAAGGGGACAGCCTCTGAGAATAAGTACTATAAAGTATTATAAAGATGAGGAGGCAGAAGAAGAGGCCTCTCTGGCAGCCTCCTAGGTACCCCCAAGTCATGGTTTTGTTATTCCGAGGACATTTAACTTATGGCTATCACAGAGGCAGGAAACTGGGCGACTGCTTTGGGCAGAAAGGAGCAGCATGTTCTCTGCCACCAACTTTTATCAGGCCATCTGCAGGGAAATGACTCTGCTCTCACTGCCCACAAGCAAGCCTCATACCAGCCCCCGATGAGACATTTCAAAACAGACTAATTCTTGACAAAACCAACCATCGAGCGAACCCTGATTTATTTCACAGAAACACATACCGTGAAATTCCAGGAATATTTAATTAGAAGCACGGCATCTGGGGACTGTACCTAGTTTCGAATCGAGTTATAGACGCCAGTAGACTCACTCACAGGAGTCTATGTTGTAGGGGAAGCAGGGCAGCCGCTCGCAGAGAGAGGCATGCTAAGTGGCACTCGCTGTTCAGAAAGCAGATATGCTCCTGCCTTCTTTCATGAATGTGCTGGGGTGCAGCCAGAATGCATTTCCCCCGAGAACTGGGGTCATCTACCAAAAGCTTAAGAAAGTCATTCTAATGAGTAAAATAGACACTGCTGAATTCATACAAGGGGATAAACATTTTCTCCAACCCAGAAAACAGTCCCTCATAACTTTTGGCATAACGTGACACATGTGCTAACCCCCTTAACATATTTCTCACAGCAGATGTACTTCCTATTAGGGAAGTGTGATAAAATCCTAAGAACCATTATCCTCCTACATATGAATTAAACGGAAGAAAACATGGATCTTGTAAACTGCAACTCATAAAATGTTCCAGAGTGAAGTAATGAGAAGCTGGTCCAGAGAAGGGACATGACTCACCAAAGCCCTATAATTCTGGGCAAGGCCCATAGATTTCAGGTTCCTCCTTGAGTTCATGACGACAAGACGACCAAAAACAAAACTCGGTAATATGGTATAAATAACCAGATCATAACTCCTGGGGGACTGACTGGACCACACAGTTGATTACAGCTTCCCATAGATGTGGCATGGCAGACACTTCTAGGTCCCACACCACATCCATTCCCTCTTTCTCCCTTTAGACAGAAGCCCAATGAATTATGGGTGGTACAATCCAGCACGGCCTTTCCAGTTGGCCTTACCATCGACTGGGCTAGAGATCTGACCTGAGATGACAGAAATGTCAGGAGGCTACTGGAAAAGTCTCCTCCCAAGTGAAAAAAAGGGCGGAGAGGAAAATGTGACCTCACCAACCCTCAGCCCACATACATGCACACAGAAACACATACACGTATGTGCCCAGGGACACGTGTACACACACGCTTTCTGCCGTCAGACCCGGTCCAGTGAGGACACGCTGAAGGGATGCAGCCTCTGCCTAAGGACTACAGGACAGTAGAGGACCACAGCTGAGAGAAGAGGCCACACCACGCACACCATTATTCAGCGGCTGACCCAGTTTCTTATTGGTATCTGCAACCAGTTGATTCTCTTATTAAGGATGAGTGGGGACAGGAGTCAGAGGCCAAGGCCTTCCCTTTCTGAGGAAGTCTTACCTCTGACGAGAAGACAGGCCTTGAATTTCCTGACCTGAACATTTCCATGCTGGCTGAGGATAGGGTCGGTGGTAGAGCACTTGCTGAGTATTTACGAGGCCCTAGCTGGGTTCAGTCCACACACCGCTACCCATAAACAAAACGATCCCTAGTGAAGTCAGCACAGCGATCCTGTCTAGTCAGTTGCCTGCTACTTTCCCCACTGATTAACAGGCAACTGAATTCATCCAGACCCTGATTCCTGGGCCTGCCTGCACTGCATCTTCTGCTCACTGGGATACGGGGTGGGGGTGGGTGGGGGAGACGGGAGGGGGGGGGTTCATGAAGCAGAGTTGTTTTGCTCCTAGCAAGACACTGGATGACGGGGACCAGAGCCATGCAGGACACCACAGGCTGTGGTGAGGGACAGCAAGGCTGCCTGAAGCACAGCCCTGTCAGTCTCACCCTGGCGTCAGAATGTTCCTTCATCCATCTTGACAGAGTCAGAGTTCCGGTCTCTGGGAACATGGCCTTTCATATGATGCTGCTGGCTTAGAAGAGAGAGTCGGCCGT